CTGTTGTAGAGAGGTGGCCGTTGTGGAGAAGTGGCCGTTGTGGAGAGGTGGCCGTTGAAGAGAGGTGGCCGTTGTAGAGAGGTGGCCGTTGTAGAGAGGTGGCCGTTGTAGAGAGGTGGTCGTTGTGGAGAGGTGGCCGTTGTAGAGAGGTGGCCGTTGTAGAGAGGTGGCCGTTGTAGAGAGGTGGCCGTTGTGGAGAGGTGGCCGTTGAAGAGAGGTGGCTGTTGTGGAGAGGTGGCCGTTGTGTAGAGGTGGTCGTTGTGGAGAGGTGGCCGTTGTAGAGTGGTGGCCGTTGTGGAGAGGTGGCCGTTGTAGGGAGGTGGCCGTTGTAGAGAGGTGGCCGTTGTAGAGTGGTGGCCGTTGTAGAGAGGTGGCCGTTGTAGAGAGGTGGCCATTGTGGAGAGGTGGCCGTTGTAGAGAGGTGGCCGTTAGTGGGGAGGTGGCTGTTGTGGAGAGGTGGCCGTTGTAGAGAGGTGGCCATTGTGGAGAATTGGCCGTTGTTGAGAGGTGGCCGTTAGTGGAGAGGTGGCCGTTGTAGAGAGGTGGCCGTTGTGGAGAGGTGGCCGTTTTAGAGAGGTGGCCGTTGTGTAGAGGCGGCCGTTAGTGGAGAGGTGGCCGTTATTGGAGGTTCGACTTTATAACTTATTGACTAAGAAAGTATACCTCATTAGTCTAACAGAAGCGAAACGGCGCGCTTCACATGTTGTATGCCACGTTGGTAAAGCCAAGAAACGAAACAAGCTCGGTGCATATGTAATATACCTTTCTTCTAAGATTCGCTTGGACCGTAACGTTTACGATCCAGGCCTATTTTAAGAGGGTTAATATGAAGTCATCAGAACATAACGGTGCTTATATTACCCCACCTTTTCGCACCAATATGCTCATTTTAAGCAAGAGGACATTTTTCATCCGTTCCTTCCTGAAGAAACCAAGCTATTCCTTAATTTCAGAAATAAGTGACATCATTTCTCTATTGTACTATCTTGTAATTGTAAGTCCATTTACTGTGGAGGGTGGGGTTCTGACTCCAGCAATGGCCCAGCTTCGGTGTATTAAAATACTAACATGACTCCGAGGCGGTTAAGGGATCAAAATTGCACATTTTCACGACTCTCCTGTCTCGTAATTCTCAGAAGCGACTTGAGCACACAGAAAACCAAACCAAATATTGAAAAATGCCCAGAAAGCCTCGCAGTTAGAATTTTAAAATATCGAACGTGGACTATTTTAGAGACCCCAAGTTCAGGCGAACCCTCCTGTCCTACGTGGGATTAGTTGTTCCGTTCGGAAGCCGCTACAGCAAAAACACCTGATCACTCCCCCACCCTTGAGACAATCTTGTACCTAGAGTTCTCCAGATGTTTGTTCAGCGGGTAGTCTGTCCTGGCGTTTCCGCTGACCGCCTAGCCCGCGGTCTGTAAGTAAGAAGTTGCCCTTGAACGCTATGGCGGGTGAACGTCATATGATACGTGCGCTCTGTGGTTTGAACAAGACGTTTGACAAAGACGTTACGATAGTTTTAGCTCTAAATCGAATTTCTGCCCTTATAGGCATTTTCTTTGGAAATGCTTTACCCTTTACGTATACTTTGGGTGCTTGTCTTCTATTGAGCTCCGGGGGGTACTTTAGGAATTTCTGGGTGGGGATGTGCCGCTTGGACCAGGGATATTTCAGCTGAATTTTGCTAACCTATACTAGAGTAAAATCCCCAAATCCCCCCTATCCTAGAGTAGCTGTTTTCCAGAAACTACAGAGCTCACTAGCACAGCCTAGCCAAAACAAAACCTTATACCTAGTCTAGATAAAATCTTCAAGCAACTGATCAGTTTTCTGAAAATTGCTACCCTATTCTAGACCTAAACGCTTTGATTTATATACCCTATCCTAGAGTAAACTGCTTGAAAACCATACCCTTCACAGCGGCACATACCTATATAGCCCATATATGGCAGCACCTCCCCCTTCCCGGTATTGAGCGAAGTTTCACAAAAATGTGTATGAGGAATTTCGAGGTATCTTTGAATTTCTACAAAAAGGATATAAATTATGCATTAACGGAAGGATGGACTTAATGCAGACAAATTTGCAACTTTTTGGATGCTTCCGAAAAGTTTTTATCGCTCTATAACTGGCTAAACGCAATAAGACTTGCTCAATTTCGAAAAAACATCAAAACATGTGAATCAGACACACGCAAGGCTGAGCTCTTTTTGTAACTTTTAAGGCTACTTTCACGAAATAAAGATTAAACCAAAATTCGTCGATGGATTTCCTTTAAAAAATTTCAGTGCTGCAATTGATTACTGTACTATAAAATCCCCTTGAATTTGGTGTCCGTTACAAACTTAAAGTTGTCTAACGTACGCGCAAAATTGAGCAAATACTGAAGAGATCTCATAGATCTGGCTAAGTTTTTGCTTTGGAATTTTCTATTGTCTCGAGTTTAGCACAACCTCAAATACCCATACAGCATGCGAGAATTTTCTGCGCTTGGTTGCCCTCCGTAATCTATTCGCTATTGTTTACTCCTTTTCTGCAGCACTACCATATTTGGGAAAGATTTCAGAGGGCAATCAGGAACGGTAAATTCTCGCCTGCTGCAAAAGCGGACGAACAATTACCAATAAGGCGGCACACAGGTCAATTTTTCTGATCCCATCTCCATCACATACCGTGGGAGAACTGTTTTGCGGTTCCCAACCAACAGCTACCACTTCTCTACGGTGGAGCTGGCGAGTAAACCAGTGTTTCTGCACTCTTCTCGGTAGTAACCGGCGGGGTGGATGGTCGCAAGGGAGACTTCTCGTCTGGAAGTCTCGAGACCTCTCGCCATGCTGATGAGTCCTAATTAGGAAGAAACAGCTATTCATTGCTACCACTACCGGAGTGATAGCGTCGTGTCCATGCATAAGGTACGGACCGTATCGCGGGGTTGGTACGCCTGCTTCCCGGGAGGGTACTCCTGGGAATTCTTGGTGGGGGTGTGCGGCCCGGTTCTCCAAATCCTGACCCGATTTCAGACCCAAAAATGTAACTTGTTTTCCACACCCGTTGTCAGACTAGAACTCTAAAATCCATCCCCGTTTTCAGACCTGGTATTTAGGCAGAAATTATGTTATCATTACTTAGATTAGAGCGCAAACACAAAAGTTATTCAAATCCATTTCAAATTCGCATATTTCTCTTTCTTTCCTTCTCATTTGGAATTGAAATGATAAATACGTCTATACACCCCGTAGTTCCCTCGAAAACCATACACGATTCCAGACCAAAACGAACAAAGCGTATATCCGTTTTCAGACCAAAACGGCCCAAAAACCCTACCCGATGGGGCGGCACATACCCATATGGCTTGTATACGGGAGTATCCCCCCGGGGTGTGCTTCAGTGCTCAAATTGGTATTGTTGACAAAAAATTACGCGGGAGATAAGACCGGGTACATCCACTGGGGCCTTCGTTGTTTGCGAGGGATTTGCATTAGATAGCCTGCTAGATAAAGCTGATCTTGCTTTGTTCTTCTTCCTAGGAGAAAGGAACTGATTACAACCGCCCCTGGTTAGCTCAATTGCATAAACGCCGGTATGGGTAGTGGATGGTGCGAGTTTGAACCCCCGGTCGGAACAACGCCCAGGGTCTTTTTAGAGGTAACACTTTCTCATAAGTCAATTGAGTTTACACAAAAGCCATAATAAGATGCTCTTGGTTTACAAATGTAATGAAATTTCTTATCAGGACAATAAAACCCGTAGGTACCGTCTCGGAACACTTGCAAGCAAGTTCATATGAAATTCCTTGGGATGTTAGAATCTACACACTACCCGTAAATAGTAGAGGACGTGGTCCTCTCGCAGGCCTCGCAGGATTAGCTTGAAAGGCTTCTGAGCGAATAAGACTACAACACGGCACATACGGAAAGAAGAAATTTTTTGGCCGAGAACTGGACCTCATTAATAAATTCAAACATGAACGTCCTAAAGGTGCTTCTCAGCGATAATCTTTCAAAGAATCCTTGTCTACCAACATGAAGTTTATCTTGCTCTTTTGCTTAACACAGCTCGTAAAAGAACACTCCCCTTACAAACCTCTTACTCCGAGCCTCTCCCTTTAGCCCATTATAGGAAGTACTTCCTACCAACCCCTGGGGCAACAATGAACTCATAATACTAAAAAAGGTGTTTTATTAATGTAATAAAGCTTACACTAAAAGTGAGGGTATAAGATGTTTTCATTGTAGCTACAAATGTCGAATAAAAGGGTAGTTCAGTTATCTAACGAGCTGTATTTCTCCAAATAGATAAGAACTACCAAGTTCAATTAAGAGTTAATTCATGTTTCAAAATAAAGTTGGGCCATTAATCAGTGTCTGAACTTATACTCACTAAAATACACCCGCAAACGAGGACTAAGTAGTTCTACCAACCTCCCGGGAGAAATTTGCAATTTTAATCATCAAAAATACAATAAGCTATTTTGCCAGACCTCAAAAAAGTAGGTTCTTATTTGCGGGTATTTACTGTATCTTACTTCACTAAGCAATCATTATTATAGTAAAATACAATAGACAATTACTGGGTTTAGAGATTATATCGGCAATACATGCCTTATTTCAAATCCGAGTTGTAAAAACGCCAGGAAGCAATTACTACTACTATTTTAACTTAAACGTTATTTCTTGATTGGCTATTGCCTGAACATCTTGGGATCTCTACATCTTGAATTTAATCAATATTTAAAAGCCGTTTGTGTAATTTATTCGCGTGACCAGTGGTCGCCCAAAGCTAGCCACGGATAACCAGAATGATAACAGAAACAACTGTAACAAAAATTTCAACAAAATTCACTTTTAAAAGTGTGGACTTTACAGCTTTTAAAATTATATACATAATTTCGACCCACGCTACTGTAAAAGTGATGAAAAGGATCATTTTGCCTTCATTAGTGTTTGTGAGCTGTGTCCGACCCAAATAATTTCCCCTTAGCTTGTAGCTGTCACAGGAGTTTTCTTTTTCACTTTAGTCCTCCCGATTTCTACCGCAGCAGCAATATCGTTTAAGTCCACTCAATTTTTTAAACACACGATCATAAGGTTCCAATGACCGTGTCCATTTTGGTAGCCATTTCCAATCTTGGAGAACCTCTGGCAAAACGTCTGGGGCTTTCCTCTGAAGGATGTTGACAATGATGATGAACAGCAAGAGAAGAACAATTGGGACTGCCACACCAACCAGGATTTGCCAACCGGCCAATGACAAGCCAAATATAGCTGCAGGAAGGAGAAAGAAACCAAAAATCAGGTAAGCCAAGGCAAACCAGCGGTACTCAGCAGTTTTGTTGCCCAGGAATTTTGCCGTATTGATAGGCAATTTGCGAACGTAAGGGACTGGATACCACAATATGATACCAGAAATATTGAAGAACAGATGGCAGAAGGCAATCTGGAGAGCTTTGTCCAAGTTTGAGGTACTTGCCAGGGCTGCCAGAATGCCCGTTGCAGTTGTTCCGATGTTTGCACCCAAAGTGAGGGGAAAGGCGCGCTCAAGAGACACCACTCCGACACCGATAAGAGGCGTAAGTGCAGAGGTGAAGATGGAACTGGACTGAACCAACATTGTTAACCCAGCACCAACCAAGATGGCAAAGTAACCAGTGAAATACTTGAACGGCCCTGGGAAGTCTGCGTTGACGGTCTTCTTGATAATCTTGGCCATCTGACCGCGAAGCATGGAATGAAGGGTTTTGACGATGAGTATAAGGCAGACACAAAGAAGAGCGATAGCTATCACCAGGATTATGACACCAACTTCTGTGTCACTCAGTGGAGTGTCTGCAAAAAGGAAGCAGGGAGGATCTGTTGTAGACGACTCGTTCACAAGTTTATAAGTTGTATAAGTTGTATTACCGTCATTGACCAAGTCAGTCTTATTGACCACCTTAGTGACATTTTCCGGCTTGCAACTTTTGATTAGAGACTTTGATTCAGCAGATTGGTCTCCAAGGGCAATATCCGTTATGACGTTTTTATCCAACTGAATAATAAGCTTTGTAAATGGTTCCGTTATTGTTTTCAACAACTTTTGGTTGACACCTTTATCTGTTTTGAGACTGAGAGAGTCAATGATCTCTCCAGTTAGTCGGCGCAAGTAGCCGGAAGCTACTTCGAGAGGCAAAAACACAATGACAGACAACCAGTTGAATATATCGTGCACGACGGCTCCAGCAAAGGCACGACGGAATTCATTTCGCTCGGCAGCTTCAGCCAAGGAGACAATGGTGTTGGTGACTGATGTTCCAATGTTCGCTCCCATTACCATTGGAATGGCAGGCTTAACATCCACAACTGAAAGGTAAAGTTCTCTGTTAAACTCTCACTATTCATAAATACCTGAAATACGTTTGAAAACAGAGATAGCCCTAGCTTAAGGGTGTCAATTATATTTGCCCAACAAGGGTCTGTATGGGGATTCTAGTGATTGCTATTCAAGAGTCAAAAAAGTAATAAGAATGCCAGGGACTAACAACACGGTTCCTTTACTTCATTCCTACGCGACCTACTATTCTCTTATAACTGTTATAAAAGCTTTACTAAAATCAGTTGTATTCAAAACAACTTGTGCTAAAATAAGGTCTATTGAATTAGATGTTCACTCAGCCTGAAGCGATAAGCCGTCGGGAAACTGAATCGAGTGCAGTGGTGAAACATCATTTAAGGTTGCTCTCATGAGACAGGGCTGATGTTGTAACGGTGATGAATTCCACTTTTTAAGACTGTTTTGGCCTTTTGGGAACTGTTGGTTGTTTACCATTTACTTGGGCAAACCGTTCGGTTCATGGTTTGGGTAATTGGTAAAGTGAAATTCAGAGTTGGTAAATTTTGTTCAGGCATTGTGCTTACCAGTTACACAGAAAAACTGTTTGAATACAGAGGTCCACGCAACGCGTTAATAAAACTGACTGGTTCCTCCTGCCGGATCTCTAACTAATTAAAGAGATGCTGTAGCCAGACGTCACTTGAGGTGTAAAATGGAACAAAACTGAATGCAAGGCTGAGACTACGGCAAAGGGCTGATATATTATAGGCCAATATTTCGGCTAACAAAATTAGCCTTTTCTCAGGGCCAGAGCTATACCGAGAGAAAATATTTTTTTAACGGCTCCTAAAATTTAAACTTGAAATTCACATAAGTGGGCTGTTACCGAAAAACAGCCGCGAAAGCCTGGAACTGGTATCAAAGATTGGCTTTAATAAATGAAACGCAAATTTCTGCTATTAACATTCCGTGCGGAAAAACAGGACTACCTTTTCAGATCATCGTTCCTTCGCTCCCGGAAATTTTGCACTGCAACGACCAGAAAAGTCGTGTTCCATTTACTTTTCACCTGGATATGAGGATTCGCAGGAAACTGGATCAATTGAGTTCGTCCTCAAAAAGAGTCCGACGTTTCTTGTATGCGCTTTATGCCTTCTAGCAACTATTCACGATAAATAGTTTTAGGATAAAAGCGTTTTAGGAAAACTGAAAATGGGTCAGAACGAGGTTTTGTTAAACACTACCCTGGCTCCAGAGGTCCGTTCTCAAAATACCTAAGATGAAACAAACCATGCTTACGGTTTGATAAGGCTCCCGAGACGGACCTCTCGTCACACAAGCAAGCAAACTCATTTCCATGCGAGAAATCAGTTCAGAATTTGAAGTGGGTCGCCGATTGGTTACTCCCATGTTCGCAAGGAATTAACGCTGTAACATTGAACTTGATTGGCTGCATTGAAAAGCTTCACCGCATGAGATTAAAAACCGGTTGCAATTGCGATGTTCATAACAAACAATATAATCCCGGGTTGTAATTCGGAGATATCTGCTTTCATGTTTACTTTTGGAAGTGTGGCAATCTCTGGATAAACTTCGAAATAATTTAAGCGAATTTCTGGAGAACTGGCTAGAAAATCTTAGGATTATTTCAGCTCCAGGCCTTATTAAGTACAAATAAATATATATATATATTTCTCTTTCACGTGTGTATGTAATTGATTAAGTACAAGGCGAATAAAGGTATTGTTGTTGTTGTTGTTGTTGTTGTTGTTTTTGTTGCGAACATTCTACAACTGAATCAACGTTGCTCGAGGAAGAAGCTTTGTTTGAATTTTTCCTACCAAAGAACGTACTTTGAATGAATGTGATAATTTCCTGCTATGCTTTGTCTTGCTGGTCTCAGTTCTGCATTCTCACGGACAGTACAAAAAAAAACCTGGGTGCAAAAGGTTTTTCTTCTTTTCGTACTTCCTGATAGTTCGCTGCGCGGTTTATTTGCTAAAAAATGCAGCAGAATGATATGTTTTGTTTGGCATAGCCGTTTTGCCTGGCAATATTTAGTTTGACCTGGTACAGTAATACAAGTGTCACGGACCGGAAATTCTTTTTATCCTGTTGACTTCTAAAAACATACAGAGTGTGTACTTCTCAGCTGACTTCTGTCCTTTTCATATACTTGAAACTTGAAGTGTACATTTTTTGGAAAAGAATTTGTTGCAATTTTTATAGCATTTTTTTTTCTAAGTAAGCTTTTGCGCAATTTTTTTTTAATGCATCGTAGAGAGTCACGTAGGATCAAATCTCAGCTGTCAGCGTCAATGAAAACAAACATGCATATCAGCTCCAAACCGGTTTGATGAGATATATGATCCTAATATTGCATGGAAATGAGACTCGTAGCTCCTGTGACCAGAGGTTATTTTTTTTCTCTCGGCGCTTCGCGTCTCGTTGACGCGGCTCCACCGCGAACGATCGTTGCACGACTGCTATATGAAACTTACGCCCCCGCTTTATAAAGTAGGTGAACACAACACAAAAATTTTCTTGTTCTTTTTCTAAACTTAGATACGGTCCTTTCGAATTCAACCCAAGAAAATTTCGCCAACATTTGACAAATTAAATGAAATTGAATGAGATCGATGAAGTTTGAAACAGTGCGAATTCACGAATTTCGATTTGTTGTCATCCAGAAACTTTGCTACTATGGCAAAGTGACGTATCGACTTTAGATGGAACTAAACTCTGGGTTAAGTCCATCTGCAAAATAGCGGCAAAATCCTAGTTCTGAGCCCCCTGTGTGTGTATCAGGATTAGAGTACATGCCAGGACTGGACTGTTAAAAATGCCATTGTCCATTTGCCAATCATGTTGAAGGGAAACTCAAAATGCGGGTAATTCATTTTGTACGTCAGGACCCAGAACAAAGGATATTAGAGCTGCTTCGCAAATGTTACTAACCAGGGTTAGATGTCTTCAAGACTGAATTAACTTATGCTACAACATTGTGTCTCTAGAGAGGTAGTGTTATCTGTAGATTTTGATTTTGTATATGTTGTAGTTCATTTTTATTTCAGTTCATTTTTATTTTTCCATCTTTTCCAGGGTATGGTCAAGTATGCTAATGAATTTTAAACAAGGGAAAACCAAAAATTCACCGAAATTAAAAATTAACAGCAACATATTCACTACCATGTAACTCGCCTAAATGTCACCTTTTTCCCCTTAAGTCGCCCAAAGTCGCCTTAAATCGCCTTAAGTCGCACAACATTTTGACCAAATTTTCCTAAAGTTGCCTTAAATCGCCTTAATTAAGTCGCCTAAAATTACGGCGACTTAAGTTCCCAGAGTAGGCCTTCTCCATAACGACATAACATTCGACACAACAAGCGGAACTTCAGTAAAATGGCTAATTCAAGGGGCGTCGATAAAACCAGGAACATGGAACATCCCGGAACATTCCGGAACATTCCGGAACATTCTGGAACATGAAAAAATTAAAATATTTTTTTATGAAAAAATAATTAATTAATTAAATAATAATAATAATAATAATAATAAATAATAATAAAAAGAACAATAGATAGAAAACAATTTTTGTAAAAATTTATGATAACAAAATAAATAACATAACATAACATAACATAAAAACGAAAAATAAAGAAACAAACAAAGAACGAAAGAAAACGAAACTAATATAATCTCCGAGTATGAGAAAACAATAATTTGTCGCAATGAATTTTTTGGGCGAGTGAGGGTCCATTCAAATGACAGTAATGAGTGAAGGCTTACTTCTAAATTCAAAATATATTAAAATGGCTCGCGAGGAGGGGGTTTTCAAGCTTTCCTCACACAGCCACCTATTGTAAATGTCTGCCATGCGGTTTAACGGTTATCCATTTACAGCTTTGCGACCGTAAGAAGAGCTTAGGGGCTCGTCGCTTTCGACTTGGATAATTAAATGAAAGATTCACATTCCCCGTGAATAGTTGCAGTGGTAGTGGTAGAGCAGCGGTAGTTTCTAACTGTTATCAGTTAGCCTGAATTTTAGCCGTCTCCCTGCAAACTCCTCCTGCCACTCGAGGAGACGTCTGAAATATCATGCTGACTGTAAACAGTATAGAAACTACTACGAATGAGAGAACTGTCCACTAAAATCCAAAGACAGGAGCCCCTATGCTCTTCTTAAGTTCACAGAGCCGCCTGGTCTATAAGTAATTCATGTCAACCTCAAGTGAAACAAAGCACCTCAAGTAAGCAAATGTCGGTTATATATAAGGAGACTATATGTTGGCTTGAAATGAGCTACTTACCGACTTGGCTTGACATGAAATACTGCACCGTCATTCATTCAGACCTTCGCAGAGCCGTAAATGGATAACCGCCAAAGGATTAACTCATGGCAAACAATTACAAGAGGTGGCTGTGTGAGGAAAGCTTGAAAACCCCCTCCTCGCGCGACCCATGTTAATATATTTTGAATTTAGAAGCAAGCCTTCACTCATTACTGTCACTTGCATGAACCCTCACTTGCCCAACAAATTTTAATTTGTTACGACAAAATATTGTTTTCTGATACTCAGAGAGGATACCAGTTTCTTTTTCTCGATTATTTTATTATTTTTCGTTTTTGTTTGGTTATTTTACGTTTATTATTTTTTTACAAAAATCATTTTATTATTATTATTTTACTATATTTTTTTCTTGAAAATTATTTTTATTTTTTCATGTTCCGGGATGTTCCGGGATGTTCCGGAATGTTCCGGCATGTTCTAGCATGTTCCATGTTCCTGGTTTTATCGACGCCCTAATTCAAGAGGGAGTGAGCGCTTCAGGTATGCCGTATGATTTCACTTTATTTTATTATGGAATTTGGAAGAAGATTGGGAAAGAGGAAAGTGTCCAGGAACTAGGCATGTGGCGAAAGAATTTGGGATATTCTGAAATGCTTTAACCATTTGTCATTTTCACGTGCGATAACAAACTGTTTATCGTAAAAAGTTGATGAGTGTGTGAGTATGCAACAAGCCGCGACAATTGTCGCTTGATAGAGCATAACAGTTGAATGGAACAGACAACCGTAGATTTTGAACTCTGACGCACGTGATCAGAGAGTGATTACAGGTGGCATGATGTTGTGGTTAAAAGTGTAGTTTCTGTTCACCAACAAGTGCAAGTGTAAAGCCCGCATAATACTATCTATTTGACGTTCCACAATTTGTTTGCAGTTTTGGGGGTAAGAATTACAACGTCACGCCGCGTGTTGCAAACATAATAAAAGCTACATTTAAGGATTTCTGAAGTGAAAAACATGACTGTCAGGGACGTACCCAGCTTTTCGCCAAGTTGTATGCCTGGCTGACTTTCATTTCCACATATCCTGAAAATTGGACGCATGGCTAGTACAGACTGACGTCACCAACACTTTGAGCTCTTGACCTTTTTAGCTTAGCCCAAAAAAGCATAATTTATTACAATCGGTAGAGTGATCAAACTAGCCTGAGTATCTGGCGTTTCTGGGGGAAATATGGAAGGGCTTCTCCCCTCCCCAACCCCTTACGAAGGCCTGATACTCAGGCTAGATGAAGCCAAAAGTTTGTAGGCCCAGGCCTAAGGTCTATGGGCTGGCTACCCCGTGGCTGTACGCTTATTAACCTCCGCTTCATGTGTCCACGAAACCATAACTCGCTTTCTCCACGCTTGATACATTTTCAAAACATGCTTTTCTCGTTCCGTTAAACAAATCAATTGATAAATTGGCCCAATCAGGAAAATCCAATTTAATTTGTTTTTACGATTGTTAATGGACCTAAGTGCTGGACTGTCGACAGACCACGGGCTGATTCACTGTTTGTTTAAATGGCAAGGGAAACTTAGAACTGTGATATTTCACAATAGAAAGGATCAGAAACTTGTTTCAATATATTCATTAGTAAATAAAACGAAAGGGGCTGGAACTTAATTCCGACCAATCGTATGCCTTGGTTAGATTTTGGAACAGCTCTCTATATGCTCCTCGTTCTATAAGCCATAAACCAAAACAAGCGCGCTTCTTTATAATACTCCTCGTTCTAAAGCAGGGGGCCAAGTAACCGGGGCGAAATGAGCGGTTATCTATCTACACAAGGCACTCTCAGGCGCATACCAAAACATCATTTTCCAATCAAAATTTCTGCCTTATATTTGAAATAGTACAAATCCAGAAGTAAAAATGATAAACAGAATGAAGAATACCCTAGGAAACTCCAAAGACAAAATGTGCAAACAAGGAACAGACTTTTCAACTGACTTCTCTATACTGAGCTTTTGCACAGTTCAAGCCGGACAAACTCCAGCGTTGTTGGTTATTGGCTACCAGGCTAATATCAACTCAAAATAAATGTGTTGTATTGCTTTTTCGATGAGTGACAAAATATAAGGGTCTTTTTCCTCTATGACGAAACTATGGTCCATAAATCAATAAAACCCTCTGCCTACAAAGCGTTGATTTTAAAAATGCTGAAATTCTTTTCAGATATGTGACCACTGGAAGCAATTGGAGGCGCCAAAACGTTATATAAATTACAGTAAAGTCTGGTAAATATCTTCCAGAACCATGCAACATTGTTGTTGTAAAATACAAAACTTACTGCCAGCAGCCACCATTGAGACCACGATGGAAGTTGTAGTGGACGAGCTTTGAACAAGAACAGTTGCCAAGATGCCAATCATAAGGCCAGCCACGGGGTTGCTGAGAATGTCATTCGAAGCGAAGGCTTCGCCAGCGGCTTTTCCTCCCAACAGGCGAAAGGCACTGCTTAGGAAATCCAACGAACAGATGAACAAGTACAGAAGACCAAGGAGTAGGACAATTTTGGTAAAAGCCAAAGCAACGCGAAGAAACTTTCCTTTGCAGTCGAGCTCTGTCGGTCAGCAAAGAGAAAGATTTGGTCACACAATCATAAGTCCAATGGCGGATCCCAAAATTCTTTTGGAGACCGGTCCCCTCCCCCAACCCCCCTTATCTCAAGGTCTGGATCCAGCACTGAAGTCGCAATTGTTGGTAAAGCATTGCTGTTAGCAGCAGGTTTCAAGGCATTTGTAAACCCTGTTGTGATTTGATGTGAGGTTATAATTTGACATTGTTACATCGGCATTGACAAGAAAACATTATTCTCGTTAGCATTATGTATCAGTTGTTGTTCTCTGTATGTAACATGTTTTGCTAGTTGAAACGAGTCTCTTGCTAAATGACAAGAAAGTAAGCGCCAAAAAAAGGGAAAATAATGCCAACAACAACAATTTATTCAGGTATCTCTATTTATATTCATGGTATTTCCGTTTTTCTACTATTTTTGCTTTGTTTTTCTTTGTTTTCACAAATACATCCCTTGACTTCATTTTAATAAGCTGTAACTGTAAAACTGCTGCTGTAAAATACTTTCCCTTTCCTAATATTGATACCACAACTGAATTTTTGTAGTATGACGAAGTTAGACGAAGAATACAACCAGACACGAAACTTACCAGACCATTTTGGTCCAAAATCCTGAAGTTCAGGCAGAGCCCAAGGATCAAAATCTTCCTCATTCTGATGTTCTTTCCACCCGGGTTTATTTCCTGCGTTTTCTCCGGCGTCTGCTAGATACCCTTTGTTTTCGTTCTGCGAAAAGTCATTTTTGGAAGTCAAAAATGTTTCCAACAAGTCAAAGTCTTTGAAAAATGACCAAAGAGAATATGGAACCTACTGCATGGTAATGTACGTTGCGATTTGCCATTTCCACGTCTCCGTGTTTGGAAGAAACTCTCGTGAAGTCCGCCATGGTGCAAATGACGAGATTTAGAAGATTCTTCGAATATAAAGAATAGGGAACAAAGGAATGAGTTGACAGGGCAAATACTTAGAGGCCGGCTCTATTGTTCAGCGTCATCAGGATGAGGTTATTAAGAGTGACGTTTGCGTAGCGTACTTATTCTTGGTCAAGTAAGCATGTCCTTACAACGGATGGCTAGCTTCTAGCTGTGTTAATAAAACATACCTTCGTTCTATGTTTAAAACAGGAGGAGCTACAATGCAGCCATGCAGAGGTAGTTATATAACAGCTTTCAGCGAGGAAGGGCCTTGAGGATTGAAGGCCCAGAGCAAAACTCCTGCAAAACTACCGCATAGACGTAAACTGCATACATATTCATGCATGTTTCTTGTAATTAATTTAAACTTTCCTAACACTTCTAATCACCGGCACCACGAAGCTCGCCGAGTTTTCTATGAGTCAACTTTACTGTTTGACTCTTTGAAAACGAGAACGAGTAGTCTAGCTGTTTTAGTTGAAACTAATTGTTTAATCACCTTTAATTCTAAACTATGAGTTTTGATGAAAATATAAAGAAGTAAGTCTTTGTTTACATAGCTTGAATTCACGTAACGGTTGTTGTTTGTCACCAAAAAAAACAAGTTTATACTTCTTGTAATTTAATATTAATTCCGTATTTTCTGCGCGCATTTTTCCTCATGGAATAGCATCTTGAATTTATTTACCTAACTCCGCAATAAACGATTTGTTAAAGAGTTTAAAAAGTTGCATTGTTTGTTTTTGTTCAGAGAGCCGACCGGCTACTCACTCTCACACTTCAGATAATAAGCACAATAGCCAAACAGATTGCATAATTCGTGATGATATGCAAAGTTGCTTTGTGCTTGTTCTGCAAAGCAAATCAAAGTTAAATCATGACATTGATTGAATGAGGTAACGCTTATATAACAATTAGGTTCTTCGTGCACTTAACTACAATAACGTTGTCTAAAATTGAGCCGCATATAAAAACTATTGCTATAAATAACTGAACCGAGTCATGTTTTCCAAGAGCTTCTTTCGTTTAACAGTCAGTCTTGACTCTGACTGGATCATTCGGATGTAATGGTACGATAAAACAAGCAACAAAAAACATCAAACTTGTTTTGCAACATTGCTGTAAAACAAGCTGACTAATAGCGCTGATGAGGGCCCGGCGTTGAGGAGCGTTTTACAACCCACAACAGACCTGTCTTGCAACAAATCAGCGGGTTGATTTAAAACAGGTTTGAACGAGGGTGGTAAGACGCGCGACATCGCTTTTCAACTCGTTTCACAACAACGTTGAATTGAATTGGTAGGGATAATCCAAAGGCTAGTTAAAGTGTAAAGGCTACAAAACCGTGGACTATCGGGATTGCTAAACTGACTAACGTGAATGGAATGTAGTTACCATATTCCATTTGGCCAATAGAAGTTTTTATCATGTTTAATAAGACAAATCTGACAAATTTTTATTTAAATGTAGTAAAAAAATGAACGGAAATTACGTCTAATTTGACGAGGTATGGACAAGAGAATGAACTAGTTCTTTCATTACATAGATGTTCGTATCGGGTAGTTGTATAAAGGTTGCACATTGGCAAATCACGTTTGTTCCTCAGTGAAGGCACGCTCTATTGAGCTCATACGAGGGCAATGACGCGCAGAAAGATTGTTACCGGCATATTCCTTTTATAGGGCTTTTGAGACGCTGGGGTGCTTTATTTATCTATATCTAAACATGGAAAATGAACAATGCAATGAAATAAACGCCAACATGCATTCGAAGTTGTTCTCCCAAAGTTCTCCCAATATTCTGGGGTGCAGTTGCTATCGATGAGTCCTACCGATAATTAGTGCCGTATTTGCGAACTCTGAGGTGAAATCTTAAACAACAAGGTACATTCCAGGGCTTAGAAACGTCTGAAGAAAGGGAATTCAACGGTTGTGTTTTTGATGCATTCTGACTGGAGTGGTCTTTGAATTTTTTGCAAATTTCAGGTATGTAATAACTTTTTCTGGTTTACTTCGAGATACTAGAGTAAATTTGCTTGTTGCTTAGTCAAACAAAATCCATATGCACGATACTTTAGTTCATATGCACGGCCTTTGAAAATCTGTGAAGTGTGTAATTTCGGCGCCATTACTGGTTCACTGTGTGAGCGTTTCGTGGATCGTATTAGTTCTTAAAACCAAAATCCCTAGATAACACTGTGGAGGATTCCAAACTTTAACTGAGCGAATCAGTCTTGTCTTTGCTCAGGTTGTTTGTGTCACATTTAGAGGTCATTTCCTATGCTCTTTGTAATTGTTTTGTCCCTGAATGTGAATGTGATGATTTCCCGCGCTGCTTTGTCACGCGTTCTTGTAGGATATTGAATTCTCACTGGTGGCGATCTATATTTCTGAATTTACACGGTATAAAAAGGGGTCTGTGGGCCTAAACGACTGTTTATACCTTATGATGTAAAATGTCTCTTGTTCCGATTATTTTCTTTCTAGCGGGTAGATTATGCTGTAGAGCAAATTTTATTTTTGCGGCTGGTCTCACGTTGAGAGGTCATGAAGCTGACCCGTGATTAATTATTTCTTTCATTTTCGTTTCTTACAGGGTTTATCTCTGATGCAATACAGTTTAAGCATTCTCTTTGGCTAATCTAAATTATCATATGTCGATTTAAAAAAGTCAAGCGATCCTGAAATGCTTTATAGATCTCAAGTCTAGCGTTTGGTTTACGCTGGGCTCAGAAGACGAAATCATGTTTTGTGACACTTAGAACCTCAGTTTTAGCTCGACCGCCGGTCAAGGTTTTCAAAACACTAAATGACCGGCAGTCCTATATTTTCCGTAAATATCAAAAATCGAAAAAATCCAGCTAAACCAAACTATCATATGTCGAGTAAGAAAAGTCAAGCGAAATTTACTGAGAATATGGGACTGCCGGTCATTTAGCTAGACTTTAGATCTATAAAGCATTTCACGATCGCTTGACTTTTCTTAATGACGTATGATAGTTTGATTTTGATGGGTTTTTCCGATTTGTGAAATTTACTTACAAGAGAGGACTGCCGGTCATTTAGTATTTTAAAAACCTTAACCGCGGTTACCGGCCAAATAGCCACAGCGTCTAAAAAATGGAATAATTGCCCACATTTAACGGATTTTTATCCCAAAAAGGTCACCTAGAATTTTCGGGAGCCCTTTTTCTAGCTGAAATTTTCAAAAAGACAAGTTTTGATCCCTATAATTTTCGGATCACTAGACTTTCAGCTAGGAAATCCGAGCAGATGAAAAACCAGTTTTGGGGATAAAAATATGCCTATATCTACCGTTTAAATACTGAAATGACTGAAATACGTTCAACAATGCTATGTTTGAGTGGTTTTGAACTATATTCTCGTTGGGTGCCCCTGGATTACCATAACAATTCACTAAAAACGAAATAGACTGCCTTGTTTCATTAAACAATACGCTGCCGTATCATTTCCTTTTTTTCTGGTATCTTTATTTTGCGATATTAATTCCCAGCAGTCACGTTTCGTTACCAGCCTCACATTCCCTGTTTTTTTCTTCTCGCATGATTTTGACTCGCGTGTTTTTCTCGTATCAACTCAAAGTCCAACGATAACTGATGCATGATGATATTGCTCATTGATGTTTAGAGAACTATTCAAGCATGTATCAGTTGTCTGTTTCATCTCCTGCTATGGCACAACCTGAATTAATTTTCTTCGTAAACTAAATACTACAAATAAAAGACGCTGAGACACTGATTGTTTGGCAAAAAGAGAGAATGAAATGTTATAAAAGACTAATATATAAACAATTTGTCGAAGTCTCAGGTGTTTGTGGTCCACAGCTTCTGAGTTATTTGCCGAAACGTTTCACGCACCTTTGTAGAGCTTTTGTATGAAGACGCCGTATTGGTAGACAGTTTTGGTCCACCAATATCGCCGCCGGAAATCAATAAAAGCTCTTTCTTTTCACTCGAGAGCTAGCATACGTGTGCGTAAACACATCTTTTAATACTTGAAATTGTTAAGCTGCTGAAAATCAAGAGGAGAGACTTTTTTTTAACGAGGCAGCATTCCTATTTTGGTGTCACGCACTGTGAAAACTCGGAAGTTCAAATAGCTGTATATTCGAAATGAAAGATGCTACGGGGTTGGAAACTTGTACAACGATTAATTTTTTTATTTATCTTCAACCTAGTGTAAATAAGAATTCGTAAAACCTCGCTATTTTGACTTTGCAATTTGATGGACTGTGCTATCACAGTAAAATCACAGGGTAACAGCACATACATGTCCTGGACGTTGCACTAGCAATAGGAGATCAAAAGATTACCCACCGCGAACTCAGAAAATTAGCTATTTATGGTACCTAAAAACAAAACAATTTTCTTCGTAAACTAAATACTACAAATAAAAGACGCAGAGACACTGATTGTTTGGCACAGAGAGAGGCTTTATTGTTAAGGAAACCGCCTACAAGAGACAGACGAAGCGACAACACAATAACAACCTCTCTGCCCGCCAAACCAGCCAAACAACCAATGTCTGAGCAGGCTAAACCAGCGAGAAGATGAGCAATCATGCCCTCGGAAACCTGCAGCTTAAGGGGCACAGAGATATCTAAATAACATTTATACGCGTCTGAGCGCCAATCCCCGAAGACCTGGATAAGTTCCCCAGGAATACCCATCGAAAAGGCCCAAGATGCCCCTCCCCGACAAAAGAAGTGACCCGAAACAAATGGGCCTGCAGCTCGCAACCTAGCACGACGAACAGAAACAAACTGACTCTTAAGGACCGGTCCGCAATCTACCTGACCGAGACGATAAAACAAGAAGCTCACACATAAGCAGGGCTGCAAATAACGGACAGCAGGTTGCCGGTCATGATGACCGGCCAAATACTTTTTAGCCCGGACAAACCCCGATTCTGGCCGGTCAAATAATGAATACTAATAATTTTTTTTGCCTAAGGA